TTCCACATGTGGGGTCATACCCCACCTTGAGTCTCTGTGCTGTAAGGTAATATGGATTAGAGAAGTGTGGACCACATTCGATCACCTTGGGAGGGCTTCCTGGAAGAGGCGGTATTTAACAGAATGTGAAGGAGACAGTAGATTAGTGAGAGAAGTGGTAAAAAGGGCAGAGAAGTTGATGAAGGATGACAGCATCCATCTAAAAAATAGCAAACAGGCAAAAAAGCGATAGACCTATAGCTAACAAAAATTATGTGGGCCTAAGTTGCTTTTTTTCGTGTTGTTTTGTTGTTGTTGTTGTTGTTGTTTTGGTTTTTTTCCAGTACTGGGAATTGAACTCATGACCTCATGCTTGCCAGGCAGGCGGTATGCCACTGAGCTAAATCCCCAGCCCCGTAAGGTGTTTTTAAAGTACCTCCTTCCTTGCAAATATCCCTACCTGGGTATTCTGTCCACTGAACTTGGGAACATAGAGATAAATCAAGCTTATAGTTCAATTAGAGGAGATAAGTAAGAAACAGGAAAATACATGGAAAAAATGCTCACAAAGCAGGAGAGATAGGGTGGGCACCAGAGGGGACCTCTGAGTTTAAAAACAGATTTGGAGAAAGAATCTTGTTGGAGGGGAGGTGAGTACAGATATCATCCCAGAGGATGGCCGGGCGGTGGTGGAGACAGGCCCATCCACTCTGGAGGCTCCCAGGTGCCCTGGTATCTGGGAAGAGCCCTGCACGCAGTAGGCATTCAGCAAGAGTCTGCTTTCATCTCACTAGCTTAGAGTCCAGGGGTATGACAGGCAACTGTATAACAATCCAAATGACCCCTCTGTGTAAAGTGTGCTAAATGGGGAATTCACAGGCATCCAGAGACCCCAAGAAGCCCTTTCAACTGAGTCTTCTGAGGAAACCCACCATTAGATTTGCTTTGTGTTCCTTGCATGCAATAAATCTCCCCAGACTCGACTCACTTGATACAAAAACCCAACTTTTGTGTAGGAAAGGTTTTCATACCTGGTACCTTATCAACATCACCTGACAACCGCAAAATTTTCAGATTTTCTGACCTCAACCTGGGATCTAATTTAGTAAGTCTGAGGAGGGGCTTGGGCTACTTTAACTTAAAAAAGAGAATAGTAGTAATAACATTCCCCAGGTGATTCTGATCCTCCTCCAGTGTGTGTACAGCTCTTCCGGAAGATGTGGTTGAGTCATGCCAATCAGTTCATGCCCTTACATATCCCAAAGTTTGAGTGCAGGATCCCAGGAAACTACATTCCTTAAGACTTAACTATAGCATTATTGTAAGATGTTAATTCTTGGAAGAAGTTTCCCAAAGAGCTGGTGCTGGTGGTTTAACACAGTGCTTTGCCAATACTAGTAATGCGTGTGGCAGTTTTTCACATTCTGCCACCATTTCTCACCCACCTGTACCTCACATCCTCTTTCCTGTCCCTTAAATGTATTTATTTTTTTGAGAGCCAAATAATGTGTTTAAACTTCAGATTGCTGCCACAAATGGAGCGAAGTGTCTTTCACTAAAATAGAAAGTAACCCTAAAGTGAACTCAAGGAAAACAAACTGCTCTGTAAAAGTTCAGCTACACAGACTTGCTACATCCCAAGCCTCTGAGTCTGAGACCTGTGATATCTTGATTAAGAATATAAGTGAGCAAGTGTTCTGGGTAGAGAAGATGCCGAACCCTAAATGGAGACTTTCAAATTAAAAAGTAATTGAAAGGGAATAACTTTCTCACTGTGTGATTCAGTGTTATTTAGCATTCTATCTACACCACTCAAAAACATCTGAGTGTCATCATGTTATGCATCCCACCGGCATAGCCAGAATCTTTTTTGCTGATAAATAAACTAACTGTTCTACTTTAGTAGCAATAAGAAAAAATACAAATTACCATAAGAACATTCCAGAAGTATGGGCTCAGCAATACATAGGTGGCCAGTCAAAAGATAGGTGTTGCAGAGGGACTAGGACACACTCATTGCATCACCAGCTGTTAAGGACCAGGAGGAAGTGGAGGTAAAATTCTGTGAATGTTGAAGAGAAACTGCAAGAAATTCCACAGCTCAGATGCAACTACTATTTTTCTCTTTATTCCCCCCAAGACTAGGTCTAGCTGCCAGATTCACACTTCTCTTGTCCCCAGCATTTGGATGTCATTATAATAGAAGCTTTTGGGGGAGAGGGCCTTACCTCGTGCATTATGCCTGGGGCCCCTCAAATGTACAGCGGGTGTTTGTCAAGGAATGGCCTGAGTGTAATACAAACATTAGATCAATGGGCCTGAAGCTCTTGGAGAACATGCAAATTCATGGGGAAGCTCCCTGAAGCCCCCATCGTCCTTCTGCCTTCTGTTCAAGGCTGAAGTCTATACCCCATGACTCCATAACTTTGTGGTTTCTTATCTACAAGACTGAGGTTTTGCACAATAGGCTACAGTCCCTAGCACAGTGCCCTGTAAGGGTTTACTGAGTAATTAGAATGCGTAATCTTTAGCTGACGTTGCCAGCGGTGAAATGGGATTTGTCTCTGCCTCAGTAGCCAAAGGACTAGGCTGGGATTAGGTGGGGTTGCTTGTGGGTGGAGGCCATCTGAGGACAGGTGACTTAGCAACTTGTGCTGCACTTCTGAGGTGGAGAAGCATGTGTGGATGTGAAAAGTGATTAAACAGCACTTTGCAAACAGTGACAATGACACATTGTGGTTGACAAGTAAGATGGAGAAAGCTGAGTTTCCTACAGCCCAGGAGAATTGTTACCAAAGATAACAGTGGACCGAGTCATTCCTGGCCAGTGCCCAGGAGGGAGGGCAAAGGTGGTAGGTACGTGGGTTATGCATAGGAGGTGTCTCAGGCCATACCAGTAAGGTCTCAGTTTCCATGGGGATGGGGATGGGAAGATAAGGAACAGGATGGGTAAAAGTTCATCCCAGTACCCACAAGGACAGCATCACCCCATGAGGCCCTAAATTATATGAATATCTCAGGATGACTTGGTTTCGGAGCTAGCAGATTTGTCAGATTCCCAGAGGGAAAAAAGGTCCCTTTTTGGCAGAAGGTCTCAAACTGTGGGGCCTGGTGTTGCTGGTTCAAAACGCAGATTCCTGGTCCTTTACCCTGAATTTCTGATATGGAAAGTCTAAGGCATTGGTACTCAGTCAGGGCCAGTTTTGCTCCCAGAGGAGCCTGGGCAATGTGTGGCGACAATGTTTATTGTTATGACTGCGGTGGGTGGGTCTTGCATCCAGCAGGTAATCGCTAGGCTGCTGTGAAACATTCTACCTCACGCAGGACAGCCCCTTCCAACAACGAGATCTCTGGCGAAGAGTATTAATAGCGCTGAGGTTAGAAAACTTTGTTCCAACGTAAGGACCAGCCAGCCATGTGCATTTTAAGAGGGGTTTGGGGGTGGGGGCAGTGCAGAAAGCAAATGCTTCTAAGGTTGCCTGTCTTTGTAAGGTCAGGGCATCTGCATGAGAGTTTCTTCCTTACCTAACTCCTTCTCCACATGTAAAAGTCAGTTTTGACTCGACTATCCACAGGAAGTCCCACCTGCTCACCATCCTTCGGTTCTCCAAGCCCAGGTTCACTATGGTCCAAAGCGCACCTCTTCTCTGCCTATGACCCTTGCTTCTTAGCTATCTGTCACTCTCACTGGAAGGAGAGCTCCATAAGGGCAGGGTTCAGGTTCTACCATTCAGAGATGGGTCCAAGACACCTGGAAAGGTCCTGGTAAGAGCCTTCAGGGATAAAGGCTGGCTACAATCTGTCCAGGTGCATGTCTCCATCGAACCCCAGCAGTGCTCCGTTTTCCCACCTTCATGGAGTTTATCACTCTGAAATTAGGATGTATGTGCAGTTCTTGAGTCTTCTTTCACTGCACAAATGTTTTAGGGAAGCCTGACTATGAGTCGTAAGCTTTGTCATCATTGGAGGTAATTACAGAACAAAAGAGGCAGAAATCCCTCCTCCCAGCGCAGCTCATATTCTAGAGGGGATCTCAGACAATTAACCAAATAGAAAACTGAATACATGTGCCACATCGAGAAGCCCATTGGGGAAAAATAAAATGGAGAAATGAGATGGGGTGCATATGAAACGATAAATAAGGTGGGCCTTAGGGAGAGTGTGACATTTAAGCAATGGGACATGGGGGGATTCATGCACTGTCCCCCATTAGGATATAAACACCAAAGGACCAGGACTCTTCCTTTCTCTGTGGCTATTGTGTCTCCTGGACAGGTACAGAGTAGGTGCTCAATAAATGTTGCTTAAAGGAAATAAAACCACTGTACCCATTAGACTATCAGAGTGGCCTCTGTAGGAGGCAGATTTTATTTGAAGACCACCTTGAATTATCAAGGCAGTAGGCAGAACAGGAGAACTAAAGTTAAGCAGGAAGGTGAGCAGGACATTTTGCGGATCCAGTTAAGACTGGAAGTGCGGGAGTTCCTCCCTGGATAAGGTCCCCTCCCCTGCCCCAAGCAAAGCTAGGTTGTGCCCCTCCCCATGTTGGCACTGGTGCCATCTTCCAAGTTTAACCAGCGCCCTGCTCCGCGGGCTTCCCATCCCTTCCCTGATCCCCTCCGTCCTGCTCCCCGCCCCCATCCTGCTCCGGAGGGGTGTCCCGGCTAGGATGGGGGGCACGGTCCCCATCAGCAGGGAGAGCCCCTCCAGAGCGTGGCAGGCCTGGGCGCTCTGCCCCAGCCCCTCTGCCCGGCGGGACACTGGCCCTTTAATAGACTCCCTCTGCCTGCCGCTCTGCGGCTGGGGAGTAAATTTCTCCCTGTCATCAGGTCGCGGGGAGAGGAGGAGGAGGAGGAGTTTGTTAATGTTCAGTTTGTTCAGCGGGATCGATGTTTGCTGGCATCGCCTCGCCCTGCCTTGTGTGTGTGAGAGCGAGTGTGAGTGTGAGTGTGTGTGTGTGTGTGTGTGAGAGAGAGAGAGTGTGTGTGTGTGAGTGTGCGTGTGTGCGCATGTGGGGGGTGTGAGTGTGTGTGGGAGAGGAAGCGAGAGTGCGTGCGTGTGTCTGTGTGTGTCTGCGTGTGAGTGAGTGAGTGAGTGGATTCCAGATTTTCTGTCTTTCCCAAACCCGCTCCTGTCCTCTCGCATATCACTCACAGACGGAGATCTGACAGCAGCCACAAACCCACCGTGAGTGATCGTGATCGCTCCGCGCGGATCCGCCATCGAGACCGAGGAGGAGGAGGAGAGGAGGTGGAGGAGGAGGAGGAGGGGAAGAGGAGGAGGAGGAAGAAGAAGAAGAAAAAGAAGAAACCCACTACCTTCCCGGGATTGCTTTTTCTCGTCCTTATCTTTACGCGCGCGTGTGCGTGTGGCGCGTGTGCGCCCGCCGTCCTTTCCATCTGAACCCGGTCTTGGATGTTTAATAAAGAAATCAAGTGTCTCACCAGTCACCACAAAAAAAAAGCAAAAACAAATATATATATATATACATCCAAAAGCCAAAACAAAAACAGAGAGAGGAAAAAAACCCAAAACAAACAAACAAACAAGGCAGAACCAACCTCCACTGCGAGCCAGCCGGCACCAGCCACCGTGTCTGCCGCCCGGAGAGGGGGGTCTCCGGCCCGTGGTGGCGGAGTTGCAGGGGGGATCGTCAGGGGGACAGAGGCCGAGTGACGTCCTAGGAGCCACCGGGCAAGACACGGAGGAGACCCAGAGAGGCGAGAGAGACAGCGGGCCCCGCGCGCGGCTCGGGGCTGGGGCGCCAGAAGTGGGACTGGAGCGAAAGTAGAGCGATGCCAAGGAGGAAACAGCAGGCACCCAAGCGGGCAGCAGGTAAGAGACGCGGCTCCGCTCGCTCGGGGCTGCCCAGCCGGCCGCCCCGCGCCCTGCGCCCTGCGCGCCGAGCTCCTCGCCCGCCCTCCTTGCCCCGGGGTGCCCCGGGACGCCACCCCGTTCAGCTTTCGGGGGAGTTTGCTCCCGGTGCCCCTCTAATCACTCCATCCTCTCTCGCCTTCTCAGCTCTCCCAAATCCTCCCCTTTCCAGGCGCCGGGTGGGTGGGGGGGAGCTATCCCACCAAGCCTTCCCTCCTTAAACTTTTTTTCCTCCACCCTCTACCCCACCCCTAACTTTTCTCCCGGTCTGTTCTCGTCTCTGGAGCCAGAGTCCGGTTGAGCATTCGGGGTGCGGAATAGGGAGACAGCCCCTCCACCCGCTTGGCCCTCCGCGTGGTCAGTGCCAGCAGCTCCTGGCCTCCAGGGACAGCGTCTCCCCTCGCAGGGGCTTGGGGCGCTGAAGTGGGAGGCTTGCCCGAGCCCCGGGCTGCAGGGCTGCGGGCTGGCTTTGGGGCTAGCAATAGGAGTTTAGCTTTGATCGCCAAGGTAGAAAAAGCACCCCAGGAAGGGGACCAACAAACCTCTGAATGTTTTCTAAAAGGATCCATGCTTGGGAATCTATTCAACCCTCTTCTCTTCTCTTTAAAAAAAAAAAAAGATAGAAAAAGGTGGAAGGGGAGGATGCCCCTTTGGAAATTTAAGCATTTCTGGATTTTCTTCGCCCAGAGAGAGTTGCAAACTTCATGTGCAGATTGATTTGCGTGATGGGAGCTATCCCACCTGAATCCTTACTTACCCCACCCAAGCAGGGACAGGTTAATGGATCTGTACGATAGATCTTCCAAGGGATTTCTTTTTTTTCCTTTTGGGTTGCTTAATTGCTTTTTTAATAGTATGCTGGGGTTTTGTTTCTCGGAAGTGTAATATGAAAGTTCATTTTTCTCCTGCCAGACCCACCCACTGAAAAATCAGCTTTCCACTTGATTGCTAGTTTTGATTTGACATTTGATTGATCACCTGTCATCTCACTGGCTTTGATCTATTCATTCTTGATATATATCAATAAATCACTCACCATGGTAACTCAGAGTGCCAGTGACGCAAGCCTTGCCCTCTATATTCAGAGCCAGACATGCACAATTATTATCTTGTTTGGCTTTTCATGTGGGCGTTTTAATTTCTTTGTGTCTTTTAGTTGAATCAGGGCTTTAGCAAAAAAGTTTAAGTTTTGTTGCTTTTCTTCCCTTGGCTCTCCCTGGCTTCGCTTCTTGTTTTAGGCAACATTAGTTAAGGCTGGACCTCTGCAATCCCACCACCACATTTTATTCTGTTCCAACTGGAAAACACAGAGAGAAGTTTGGTGGAACACTTTGGTAAACTTTGCAAAGTCACCCTTAGGAGAAACTCAAAGTTAATTGCAAATCTAGGGAAAGTGAGTATTTGTGTCTCCACATGCTGGACCACCACGCTCATCCTGTAGTGTGACCTGATCCCAGCCCGAATGGCAGTCGCGTCCTTTGAAATACCTACATTATCTTTGCTTCTGAGTACGAAATTGCTTCCGTAACCATTTGTAGGTTGGTTAGAGGCTGGCGTGTGGAAATAGCACTTATAAAGCTTGGACTCGTTTATTTTTAAAATTATTTCCCTAAGAGCAAAATATTTAAAGCAGTTTCACTACCTATATATTTGTAACTTGCTGAGGCCATGAAGTATTTTCTTTTGGCTTTTTTCAACTCTAGCTACCTCTTTTGAAAACAATAGCTCCCTTATTTTTTTTTCTTTTGAAACTTAGACTACTTTACAATCTGACAGTGTTAAGAGTGTGGAATGGCCTTCCAGACCCAGGAAGAGTAAGCCTGTTTCATCCAGTCCTCGCAACATGAGTTTAAGTGTAGCTAGATTATTTGAGATAACAGCCTTATTGTTGTCCCTAAAGAGAACCCTGGGCTATCATCCAGCAAGAAGTGATACTGCCCTGAAAATTACTTTTTTTCCTTGTTGTTCCGGTAAAGGCCATCAACAACTAGACAGTAATTTAAATTACCAGAATGACGGAACATGTCTTCTTTGGTGAGCTCATTACAAAAAGTGCTTTGCTCAGAATTGCACTACTTTGATTATAATTATCCTCTGACCAATGAGGATCCAGGTGTATATACCATAATACTGTATCACATTATTTAAATTAGATCCTTTCATTAAGCTGGTATCTATTGGTGTTGGCTAATCTGTTTATTGTAGTGTGTGTGTGTGTGCGTGTGTATGTGTGTGTGTTTTAGAAACTTGTAACTGTAGTTTCAGTTTTCTGGCCTACTATATTCATAGTGTCTGTTTTCATGATTTATTTTTACTGGAAGAAGTGGAAATCTCTTTCAAGCTGAAATGGACTAATTCATTTTATATACAGTGAAGCCCCTCTAATGATATTTATTTGCTCTCATATTAATAAAGCAGATAGTTTTTCCTGCAGTATTTTCCCCCTCATCTGAGGTCATCAGCACCCTACTCTGTTTTACCAGAGGTGGTTACTCACAAGCAAAGTTACCCACTCCAGGACCCTTTAGGCAATGAACATCCAAGAAAGGGGGACTCTAAGATTGTGGCTATCCTAACTTTTATCACTGCTTAAAATTAAATACAAGGCACAACTGTAAGTAATTACTCCCATGGACTGATGTTGAAAGCTTGATTTCTAGCTTGATTAATGAATAATGGAAGATAGAAAAAGGCTGACAGTGAATCAGAGGCCCTCCTGCAGCTCTTTCTCCCAGGAACTGGTCAGAGACTATTAGATTCCTTTGCATTTTTCGTTTCAAGTTCCCTGTTTCAAGGAATCAATTACAAAACTTTCTAATAAAGTAGCTTTCTAAATAGGACCAACAGGATGATATTATAAGTGATAAGGAATTTTAGTCTTTATTTGTTATATTCCTCCCCCTGCAGGAGGAAGGGATGTGAGGAAACGGCAGAGTCAGAACATTTCCCTCCGAAACGTTATTCTCCCTGGCTTCCTGAAGCTATGCTATTCTACCATACTATTACTTAAAGCAAGAAAAAAAAAAGTTTAGAAAGCAACCCACAGTACCCCAGGGGTTTGCATTTGTGTGTGTGCTTGACTTGCTTCCTTGACATATATTTCACTTGCCATTAAAATGCATCCACTCTCACCTGAAAATATTTCAGGATTCTATACCAGTACTTACCCCCCTCTTCATTTTAGGGAAGATGGCAGGAAGGTAAAGTAAAACAGAATAGCCCTTTGATTTGTTTGCATGTTGTCAGATGTAGAGTGCTTAAATTTTTTAAAATTGTAGACATACTCTAATTCTTTTCTTTCCAGTGGTCTGTACCTCAGACACTGTCCACATGCATGTGTAATATAGCTTTCATTTCCCCACCCTGAACTATTGTGTTTATATTAATGCCAGCCAGTCACAACGGAACACAAAGTCTTTTTTGATCATGGGCGCCTGAATATCTAATATGTACGTAAGTCATACAGTTCAGCCTGTGCTCCTCAAAACGATTAGATGCTTCCTTCTTGCTGACTTTCAGAAGCTTTCTGATGCTCCCGACCTGTGGAGAGTCTTGCAGGAAAGAACAGCTCCCTCGATTTATTTTGTTTATTTAATATGGAGATGAATAATGCAGATTTTGTTTTCATGAATGTCCTTGTGTGGCAGTAAACATTAGACGATTAGCAATCATTACTTAAAAGTTGCAATTTGCACCTTAATAGCACAGGTTTATTTACATGGGAAACATATTCAGCAGGGACAGTACTGAACACGGCAGTGGAGTGGAAATGACCTGGGAGACATCCTTTCCTACCTCATGGCAGTGAAGACTCTGGATTAATGGGTGAGGTTCTAGAAACTGAAAGAGTAGGGGAGGGAAGGGCTCAAGCTGCTCAAGGTGAAGTTTACCTTTAATTTATTAGCAAGTGGGAAAAGACTCAAAAAACTAGGAACAAACGGGGTAGTTTCACTATCCTCAGTTTGTTTAAACATACTTCCAAAAGACAAGTTCATATCATGAACATTTAAATATCTCATGCTATAGATCCTTTTGCTTACCCCAAGACAAATGGCAAATATAAACACTCACACACAATAAAGTCCAAAGGGTCTCAGCAATACAAACTCCTCTAGCTGTTACTGTTATTTAGGGCAGATCCCTGAAACGGGAAAAACAAGGCACCTAGAAATCGCTTTGTCCACACAGTGTTCTGGAGCTGAAATTGATTGCATACGTGGCCCTTTCTTTCCCCACGCGCTTCCTGACTTTCTTCTCCTGCCTCCCGCCTCACCCTTAAAGACCCAGATTGGATGGGACATCTCAAAAGCCCATTTGTTTTAGGCATTTATTGATTTCATTTTCAATCTGCCATATCAGGACATAATGCACTAACTCTAATCAGCAGATTGCAGGTGACAGGGAGTTCTAGCGGAAACCAGGTAAGGTAAGCCAGAGGGGCTCTGGGAAACTTCTCCACAGCCAAAGCTCTGAAGCTTGGGGGTTTGGACATTGGAGGCTGCTTTTAAGAAGGGTAGAAACATTCCTCAGAATTCTCTAGTACTTTTTTCCCACCGCTTCATGTTTTATTTTTCTCACTTAGTTACCTTGATTCCTATGGCTACACTTGGGAAAGATTCACACCAACAAATACCTCCTAGGCATCTGTAGGAGACCTGTCCCGGAAGCATCTTGATTTTTGTCACATTCTCCACCAGAGGTTTATGCTTTCATTTCATCCCAGCTGACTTCTCACTCACTTGAGAGGATCTCCCCAACTGGATAATCCCTGGGTTGGTCTATTTCTCTTCTCAGTGGCTTGGGAATTGTGCTCTTGATTGAACAGGTATAAAGGGACTCAGTCTGGCATTATTTAAGACCAAAGAAACGAGGGACCTCTGCTCATCACTGACACTGAGCTCAGGAAAATCAGGGAAGAGGAAGCCCTAAGCCCTAAGCCGTGTGTTCTTGTCTGTGATGGG